AAATCGTTTAAAATCTTTAAAAGAGCAGTCTCTGTGCTGTGGTTCACCCTAAAACCTGATTGAAATTTCTCTAAAATTTGTTGCTGATCTAAGAAGGCATTGAGCTGGGTAAAAACAAGTTTTTCTAAAATTTTGCTTAAAAATGGCAGGTTGGATACCGGTCTGTAGTTGTTAAAATCATTAAAATCTAAATTGCTCTTCTTCAGAAGGGGTCTCACCACAGCCGCTTTGAAGGCTGCAGGAAAGACCCCAGTCTGCAGAGAGCAGTTCATCAGGTTTAAAAGCTCCTCTCTAAAAGATTCATAAAATGACTTAAAAAATGGAGTGGGGACTGGATCTAAAAGACATGTGGTGGGCCTCACTGAGGAGAAAACTTTATCAAGCATCTCAGCATCAACCAGGACAAAACTGTCCAGTGTTTCCTCTGGCGAAGACAAACAATCAGATGTGTTAAAAACAGTAGTGCGGTTGGATAAAATGTTACATCTGATTGTGTTTATCTTCCCCGTGAAGTGGACTGCAAAATCCTCACAGAGGGAGTCTGTGGGGGTTAAAAGAGACATGCTAAAATCAGGGTTTAAAATGGTGTCGATGGTTGAAAATAGGACCTTTGGGTTATTTTTATTTTGGGTGATTAGCTTTGCAAAGTATTTGTTCTTATGATTTCTAATTGTGTTATTGTATGCTTTTTGATTGCTTTTATATAGTTCGTAGTTGATTGTTATTTTATCTTTCCTCCACCTTCGTTCTGCCACCCTGCACTCTCGTTTCATTTTCCGTACTTCCTCATTTCTCCATGGGGGTACAGATTTTGTTTTTATGATTTTTGTTTTTAAAGGAGCCACCTGATCCAACGCAGAACTAAGTCTACTGTTAAAATCATTTGCTATAAAATCACAGGGGGCAGGTAAAACCAAGTGGGGAGTGTTGTTTAGGATGTCGATAAAATTTGCAGCCACTTCAGGGGTTAGATGTCGCTTCCTCACGGTTCTCACAGAGGTCTCACGCTGAATAAAACATACATACAGTATATGTTCTTGTTGCCAAAAGAGCACAACATAATAATCAAATCCAGATTATTTCAAATAGTTTGAATTCAGCCAAATGTTTCTAGGAACAGAACTTAGTCTGCCTCCTTTGATGTTGGGAAAAAGTGCTGTTTTGGCAGGTGGGCAGGTGACTCAGGAGCTATACCAGTATCTGATGAAGCTGTATTAAGATGTCTAGTCTTGGTTCAGTTCAGTTTATTTATTATTATTAGGGCAGAAGCAAAAAACGTGTGCGTGTTACAATACAAGTTAAAACAATTAAATACAAAAAAGGAATTGCATATTTTCCTTTCTCTGATCTAAAATATTGTACTTCCACTGATTCATTTCACTTTCATTTTACCCGGCCAAATGTTTCCCAACACATTCATAATGCCTAGTTCACTGCTACCTTTAAATGTTTTGTAAGTTTACACCAAGACCAAGAAGAATATGACCTTCTATCAGTGGCAATCTCTCCTTTTGTGTGATATTTATCATCCAGTCACTGTCATAGTTATTGATATTTATATTTGGGGATTTTAGATCTGACTTTGAACGATTAATGCAACGATTATACTTTTCTAATTTAAAAAGAATGCTGTTTGCTGTAAATAATTCAGTCCATAATTTGATCTCTTAATAATAAAATAATTAAGTAGTAACTTTTATCTGTTCACAATGAATTCAGAAAGCCATTTTTCAACCCGTATGATCGATGAGAGGACCATAAGTGCCATTGTGCGCTCTCAGGGAAGAGCAGAGGCGGTGGGCTGTGTTTCTACGTCAATACAAACTGGTGTAACGATGTGACAGTGATCTCCAAGCACTGCTCTCCTGCTCTGGAATATCTTTTCATTCATTGTAAACCATATTACTCCCCGCGGGAAATTGTTTCATTCATTCTTGCCTCTGTTTACATACCGCCATGCGCGGACGCGCGCGAGGCTCAGCGCGCACTCGCAGAGCAAGTACTGTGTATGGAACGCTTATACCCGGACTCTCTGATTATTATCCTGGGGGATTTTAATAAGGGAAACTTGAGCCAGGAATTACCCAAATACAGACAGTTTATCAAATGCCCGACCAGAGAGGAGAACACTCTGGATCACTGTTACACCACCGTGCGCGGAGCTTTTCGCGCTGTTCCCAAGCCAGCCCTCGGCTTCTCAGATCACTCCATGATACATCTGGTTCCTGCTTACAGACAGAGACTAAAGCTCTCGAAACCTGCAGTGAGGAGCTCCAAAGTGTGGTCTGATGAAGCTGTGGAAGAGCTGCGCGCATGCATGGAATCTACAGACTGGGACCTTTTCAGAGCTGCCACAGACAGCTTGGATGAATATACGGACACTGTGACGTCATACATCCACTTCTGTGAGGATAGCATCATTCCAACAAGGACCAGGGTCATCTATAACAACGACAAACCCTGGTTCACTGCTAAACTCCGGCAGCTCAGGAAAGCAAAGGAGTCTGCTTTCAGGGAGGGGGACCGCAGCGGCTACAAAGCAGCTAAATATCAGTTCAGGAAAGAACTGAAAGCAGCCAAGTCCCGGCACAGAGAACGACTACAGGAGCAGTTTGGTAACAACGATACTGCTTCTGTCTGGAGGGGCCTACGGGAGATCACCAACTACAAACCCAAAGCCCCCCCCTGTGCTGATGACCACAAGCTAGCTGACGATCTGAACTTATTTTTCAGTCGCTTTGATGCTGCCCCTGACACCTCTCCCTCCCCCACCCCCCACTACTCTAACGACCCACCCATCAGCCCTGCCCCCAGCCTAACAATAGCCGCTAAAGAGATTAAACAACTCTTCCTGAGGCTGCACCCCCGCAAAGCTCCTGGCCCGGACCACGTGTCTCCGGCCACTCTGAGACACTGCGCCAGTGAGCTTACTCCTGTGTTCACGGACATTTTCAACTCCTCTCTGCAGTCCTGCCATGTCCCGGCCTGCTTCAAATCCTCCATCATTGTCCCCGTCCCGAAGAAGCCCAGGATCACAGGACTCAATGACTACAGACCTGTAGCACTTACGTCTGTCGTCATGAAGTCATTTGAACGCCTGGTTCTCTCCCATCTCAAGTCCCTCACCTCCCCCCTCCTGGACCCCCTGCAGTTCGCCTACAGAGCCAACAGATCTGTAGACGACGCCATTAACCTGGCCCTCCACCACATCCTACAGCACCTGGACTCCCCGGGGACCTACGCCAGGGGTCCTGTTCGTGGACTTCAGCTCTGCCTTCAACACAATCCTGCCATCCCTGCTCCAGGACAAGCTCTCCCAGCTCAACGTGCCCGATTCAACCTGCAGGTGGATCACTGACTTCCTGACGGACAGGAAGCAGCGAGTGCGTCTGGGGAAGAATGTCTCGGACTCTCGGATTATAAATACAGGAGCCCCACAGGGCTGTGTTCTTTCTCCCCTGCTCTTCTCCCTGTACACCAACCACTGCACCTCCAGCCACGACTCCGTGAAGCTGATCAAGTTCGCGGACGACACCACCCTCATTGGACTCATCTCCAACAACGATGAGTCCGCCTACAGGAGGGAGGTGGACCGGCTGGTGTCCTGGTGCAGTGGTAACAACCTGGAGCTGAACGCCCAGAAGACAGTGGAGATGATTGTGGACTTCAGGAAGAGCACTGTCCCCCCGCCCCCACCCTCCGTGATGGACTCCCCCATCACCTCTGTGGAGTCCTTCCGTTTCCTGGGCACCACCATCACCCAGGACCTCAAGTGGGAGCCGACCATCAGCTCCCTCATCAAGAAGGCCCAGCAGAGGATGTACTTCCTGCGGCAGCTCAGGAAAGCCAAGCTGCCTGCACAGATGTTGGTGCAGTTCTACACGGCCATCATCGAGTCCATCCTCACCTCCTCCATCACCGTGTGGTTCGCTGGAGCCACAGTCAGGGACAAACAGAGACTACAGCGCATTGTGCGCTCTGCAGAGGAAGTGATCGGCCGCAGCCTTCCATCGCTGCAGGACCTGTACGTCGCCCGAGCTCGAGGCCGGGCTGGTCGTATCACAGCCGACCCCTCTCACCCTGCACATGGACTATTCCAACCACTCCCCTCAGGCAGGAGGCTGCGGTCCATCAGGACTAGAACCTCCCGCCACAAGAACAGTTTCTTCCCCTCTGCTGTTGGACTCTTGAACACTTCTTAACCTGTCCCCCCGCCCTTTATAAAGTCACTTTACTGCCCATCATACGTCACTTTACTTCACTGTACTGCTGTCACCTTACATTGTGTGCACCATGTGCACTTGTACATTGTAAATAGTAACTGTAACTCTATTTTAAATTTAAATTTATTCTTTAGAAGTGTTTTTTATTCTTATTTTTATTATCTCTTTTTGACTGTTGCACTGAGCCAAAGCAATTTCCAAGTCTGTGACCTCCCGTTACTTACGTTGGCAATAAAAATGATTCTGATTCTGATTCTGATTCTGATTCTGATAAGTCACAATCGAGTAATATATTTTTCAGGAGGGTCTAAGGAGGACAGTGATGATCCGAGACATCAGGACCCCCTTGAAAAAGAGATGGTTCCTCTCAAGGGGTTATCCTCAAGAATAAATAAAACGTTCAGGGATATTTATTAACATTTATGATCATTGGTCACCCTGCTCTCTATGGACCGATGTGTTTCTTATAAATGTATGTCCTTTGTTTGAACTGTTTGAGTCTCTGATCTGCTGCTGGTGAATCGATACCTTTGTAAAGTCCTCCGAGACGACTGCAGCTGTGATTCAAAGATGTACAGCATTGAATTGAAATTGAACATAACCAGTTTGTGAAGTAAAGTGCAGTTAGACGTGGATAATAAATCATATAGAAACTCCCATTATTTGCCTATAACTGAAAACTACTTGTAGAGCGTTGGTTGTTCTTCCAAAACTACATATTTCTGTGATGTTTTGTGTGTGCGCAGACAGCCCTGGTGCCCCTGACCGTTGGGCAGGATGAGTGAAGCCGACACTCAGTTCTACAGTGTCCAGGTGGGAGACTCCACCTTCACCGTGCTCACAAGATACCAGCAGCTTCACGCCATCGGCTCCGGGGCCCAAGGCATCGTCTGGTCAGAGCCACAACCTCCTCTGTTCACTTCACTGCACTACTTTAGCTCGATTTGTAAATCAAAATCCTCATTCCCATGTGATTGTCAGTCTGTATCAATATGCAGACATGCCCCTGCAGTCTAATGCACTGCAAACACTGACAAACCTGCTTGAAATAAGTCAATTTAAAGGGGAAACTTAAAAATAAATGTGAAAATTGTATATTAACATTAATTTTAAGAGATTCTTTATTCGTCCCACAGTGGGGAAATTTCAGTGTTGCATCACAAGTAAGAATGAAGAGCACACAGCAGAAGATAAATATATAACACATCTTTTCTAAAATAAAATTAAATCTTTAACTCTGGAATAAAAACAATCAGTATAAAATCTCTAACTTTAGCACGATGAAGAAGCAAGACTTACTATTTTTGCTTATTTGACCTATTTTTCTAGTGACTCAGTGGCTGTAAGAGAGGGCAGCACGGTGCCTTTACTTTTCATCAGAGTGGTGTCGACAGCGCTCCAGGATCAACTGTTTTGTTTGTTTTCTGATGCGGGGAATCCCTCAGCAGAAAAATCCTTCCAAACCATTGATCCTAAACCATCCTTGAGGCCACCGTGATAAGAGTAAAGGTGCCACACTGACCACTTTTATTCTAAAGACAAAATGTGCATAAGTTTATAAATGTCTACATGTGACATTGAAACTAGCATTAATGACTTTACAAACAATTTCTCACTCTCTGTTATGAGGATAATCAAGTATGGTACATGAGCTGCTTGTGCTTTTGACAATTATTGTTTTAGACAATAATACAGTGCCTTGAAAAACATTTGAACATGAACATTTCATATTTTGTCTATTTACAACCACAAACAGAACATATATTTTATTGTGGATGTGGTGTACAAAAAACAACTGAAACGTGATCAGCAACTTTTTCTCTGAGTGTAACCAATACCAGAAGTTTGGTACGGTGGTGATGACTCTAGTTAATAATTATATCAATCACGAGGAGTCATGATTGATATATGATCAAATGTTGACCTAATTATTAACTAGAGTCACCACCGCTGTGTAATCTAATTTCTGTAAAATCACTGCTGTACTGTGGTGACCTCAGGTGTTTGTTAAGAGAATATTAGTCACAAAACAGTGTCAGGTTGAGGGCGACAGTGGCTCAGTTGGTAGAGCACTGGCCTTTGAGCCGAATAATAAGCCGAAAAAAATAAAAATAAATACAATTGTAAACCGCATTGTGACTCTGGTCTGTGAAAGGCGGTATATAAATAAAGATTACTTACTTACAAAGATTGTCCAAACTCACAGATTCAGACAAGAAGGGTAGGCAAAAAATGCCTCTCAATGTAATATTCCAAAAGACTTAAAGCTGTAATTGTAAACCACATAAAAATGATAATATTAATATTGTCATAAAGCTTTCACTTCAGTGTCTGCCCCCGTGTTTTCACAAAAAATCCCATAAATCTTTGTTGTATCAGTTTGTGGTCACAACAAAACAAAAAGAGAAAAAGTTCAGGGGTATGAATATGTTACTTTTCAAGGCACTGTTCTTCAATGTTGAATATTTTTGTGTAATTGTTTGTTGTGTATGTATCTATTGCAGCGTCAGACAGTTTGCAGGGACCTGGATGAAAACAGTTTTTTTCTTGTCTGTTTTTGCCTCTAGCTCTGGACTAGACACGGTGCTGGGGATACCGGTGGCTGTGAAAAAGCTGTGCCGACCGTTCCAGAACCAGACCCACGCTAAACGGGCCTACAGAGAGCTGGTGCTGCTCAAATGTGTCAACCACAAAAATGTACGTCTTTTATGTGTAATTAAATATATGTCAATTTTTTTTTACAAAACAAATGTACAGTGAATCCTTTTTTTAAGGACAAAAACAAAAATACAGGATTCTGTCTAATTTAACTGTCTAATAATCACAATTACTTTCCAATGATAAGAAATTGAGAATTATATCCCACCTTTATTGGTGCTTTTCTTTTTCTGTTTCAATTGAACATTCTTCTAAATTGTGATAGTGCTTAACATAATTAATAAAGCTTATTATTATTAACTATTTAAAGATCTTTCATTACTAGACTTAAATATAAAATTGGTCACTACGAGAAAAAATGCATTTACAATCTCTTTAAATTGTAATTCTCCAAAAAAACCTAAAAATACTGAGAAGGACACAGTTAAAATGTAATATTTACTTTAATATTTAATTGGAATTACAGAAATTGGAACCCAAAAAGCTGCCACCACAGGACAATACCAGAATAAGTGATCGGTTTATTTAACGTCTGTTTGGCAGAAGTGGCATGGGTCCAACTCTATGTGGGGAGAAAAGTATAAAGATTTTTTGTTTGAAATCTGGTTTGTGAGTCTGTATATACTGTGAATCTTTCTTATGGAGCAAATAATGTGTATTGCGCTAAAATTGTGCATGACCCACAGAGAAGAGTGTTGCTGGAAAAGTTAGATTTTTACTCCTTCTTTGCTCCGAGTGCGAGTGGAGCTTTAGTGCCCTGGGCAGTGCATGGTGCAGAGAGAGCAGAGTGGACTAATGGGCTGTCTCTCTTGTTGCAGATCATCCGTCTGATCAATGTTTTCACGCCTCAGAAGTCTTTGGAGGAGTTCCAGGATCTGTGAGTGGCAACTTCCTTTTTCAAACTCTGGGTCTAAACCGATCACTTTGACTCAGGCGGTTCCCTCCTAGTGTCTCTTTCACTTTGTACAATGCACTGTATGTCTCCCAAAACACGTTTCACACTTGACTTCCAGATTTGATAGATGTCAGGGATGAAACTGTGGAGAATTTAAAGCATGGTTTGGTTTTACAAAGATTCCCCATGTTTTTAACATCTCGCAGAGTACTCTTCAATGGAAACCATATGGCACAACTGCAAATCTACCAACACTCGGCTGTCAGCCAAACTCACAACTAAAACAAGGAAACCACTGATCATAGATGACGACGCGCTTTCTAGTGTTCAAATGTTCGTCATTTGAACAAATGTGGCCTGTGACTTTCCAGGCAACTAAATAGAAATACTCTCCACCTGAACATTTTCACAGTGCTCCTCTAACTTGATTCCCAATGTGAGATGGTGGGACACTAGCAGGGGGTCACAAGAATACTTGTAGCTATTAATGCTTTATATTATTTTGATATTTTTGATCCATTTTATTTGCCATTTTCAGTAAAACCACATTTGAATACATTTGCAAAAGTCCCCATTAATATAGGCTAAAAAGAAAACAAGTTAAAAATAAGTGCAGGAAACATTTTTGTCACTGCGAAATCAGAAAACAGTTTAAATATAAGTGCAAGATCTTTAAAGTGCTTTGTTTAAACTGATAACAGCTTGTGGAAAGAAGTTGTTACCAAACAAGATGCATCTCAAGCTGGAAAATGGCGGGTGGCCAGAAGAGTCGTTAATCAATCATTTTAAACAATAATACAAATAATTTGACATAATTTGACCAAATCATAAATATTGTTTTTATCAGTCAGGGTCATAAGTCGGGTTTCATGTCTGTCTCAAGGGTTCTGGCCTGAAAGGTTTGGTAACATCTGTCCTGAAAAGTGCCATATAAAACCAATGCATTTTTATTATTATATTATCCATATCCATTTATTTGAATACAATTTATTTAATATCATCTGTGTAAATTTAGAATGTAATGTTGTGTCCTGTGTTATGTGGACACACATATGAACATTCACACAGAGGAGGGCCACAGGTCAGTCATCAACACTCTGCTTATTTGGTAACGTTTCTTTATCTGTGACTTTTCCGTCATATCTTGATTCACTTTTCAAATATCAATATCAGTTTAACACCAAAATACGGTATCATTGTGTAGTAGACTATTGACAATGTTGACTGATCCTGTGGTGCTGTGGTGTTTAGATACCTGGTTATGGAGCTGATGGACGCCAGCCTCTGCCAGGTGATCCACATGGACCTGGACCATGAGAGGATGTCCTACCTGCTTTACCAGATCCTCTGTGGCATCCGCCATCTTCACTCAGCCGGCATCATCCACAGGGTCAGAGCACACACTGCAAAGAAACACATTGACTATAGGAATACAGTATGTTATCAACACTCATCTGTGTGTGTGCAGGACCTGAAGCCTAGTAACATCGTAGTAAAGTCTGACTGCACTCTGAAGATCCTGGACTTCGGTTTGGCCAGGACTGCTTGCACTAACTTCATGATGACTCCGTACGTGGTCACAAGATACTACAGAGCACCTGAGGTCATCTTGGGGATGAAGTACAAGGAGAATGGTAAGAATTCACTGTCTCAGTTTTACGCATACATTCTGCCATGGATCTTCAGCTGGTGTGGTGCAGCCTGGGTCCTACCTGCAGCCTACCTGAGCCTGGTATGCCCTGCTGTGGGCTCAGCTCCTGCAGAGGATTTCATGGGGGTCTGGTGCAGTGGTTATTACACATGTATTTACTTCTCTACTTTAGTGGACCTTTGGTCCGTGGGCTGCATAATGGCTGAAATGATCGCTCACAAAGTCCTCTTTCCTGGGAAGGACTGTATCCTTACTTCTGTTCTTCTCCTTAGAATAGAATAGAATAGAATAGATCTTTATTGTCTGTTCAAATTGAGCAGAGATTTGTCTTTCAACACGGCACGATTCATGATCATTCATAAAACACACATAAAATACATTTAAAACACATAAGAAAAATACATTTCATAATTTATACAGTGCTACCGGTTGTTTAGAGCAGTGACTGCAGATGGGACAAATGATCTCTTGTAGATGTTTTTTCGGGCCAGCGGGGTTCTGTATCTCCTTCCTGATGGCAGCAGTCAGCAGCTTGTCAGTGTAACATGACTAATGCATACATACATATTTTTAAAGATTATTTTGTGAAGTATTGAAGAGTTGTAATAACATGTTAGTATAAACGTATGTCTTTTTGACCTTAAGTGCTTGATATTGACACAAAGATGAGGCAACGCCAGAGCTCAGAGCTTTTAACTTACGTTCACCTAAGATATGCTCTAATGGAACAAACAGACCAATAGAAGGGCAGCACTGGCCCCAGTCCATCTCTGTATGCAGCCAGCACACACTCACAGAGAGAGAGAGAGAGAGAGAGAGAGAGAGAGAGAGAGAGAGAGAGAGAGAGAGAGAGAGAGAGAGAGAGAGAGAGGTAGACAGCTGTGTAAACTGATAAGGCCAGACGCAAGCTTTGGAGGTTGCCTCTGTTTCACAAGCCACAGAGAAAAGAAGAAAAAAGATGGACCAAAGAAAAGAGAAACCAGGCTATAAATTAGCAGCAGTGCATGTGCCTGACCTTCACTGCATCTGTGCTGGTTCTGTCAAATGTTGTGTACATGTTGTGAACACATTTGTCCTGTGCTTGTGCTATGTCTCTGATCACAGTGGACATCTGGTCGGTGGGGTGCATTATGGGAGAAATGGTCAAAGGCGGCGTCATCTTCCAGGGAACCGACCGTATCCTTCACTTCACTGTTCTCATGCCTCACACCATCACACCTCACGGAGACAAACTATGATTTATTCAGCCTTTCACCAGTTTTATCTTCAGTCGTTTGCACTTGTCGTCCTTCACTTACTGTTTGTGCTGCTGTCTTTGTCTCCTGCATGGGGTTTGTTTGTATTATTGTCATGCAGGTAGTTCTATGCTGTTTTGCTGTTTAGTGACTTCAATATTTGCTTGTATGTATAAAGAAAAAAAATCACCTTTCAAATTCTCATAGGATTTAAAAAAAGAACAAATCTAGCTACTCGCTATCTACTAACCACAGTTTAGCGGTTTTGGCTAAAATAAACAACATTAGATTGTAAAAGGTTTTGTTGTAACCAATACATACACACAATATGTATGTGATTGTCAGTTACTGTTCAAATTGTGAAGAGAGTGTGAAATCTTTTGAAGACAAGCACAAGACCCACCCATGTACACCCTCGCCTCGCAGCTCCCCGAGTGGTCGAAATTCATAAAAATCCTTGAGGCCCCTTGTTACTGGTTAAACAGTTCTCCTCCAGCAAATCTCACAGGTCATAGTTATGCCAAGGGGAGAGACTATTTAAAATATTGTAGTTCTGAATAATAGTTACTGTAGACAATAGTAGCGTGTCCCATGGTCTGATATACTGATTATCTTAAAAATGAAATACATGAAATACATTGTTGACATCACCTTTAATGTCAATCTTGTGGTCATTTCTGAACAGATTGCTAATCAACTCCAAACGAATCTATTTGGCATCTGTCAATCTGTTGAATTCACCAAAAAAGTTAATAAATTGTTTTGTTTTGCTTATTGATAATTAACCAGTGGCCTTATCTGAAACACAGCAACCCTGTCACATAGAGCGTATTTCCCATAACTTGCCCCATGTTCAGATATTGACCAGTGGAATAAAGTAATTGAAGTTCTTGGCACGCCCAGTCTGGAGTTCATGAACTGCCTGATGGAGACTGTCAGAAACTATGTGATGAACAAGCCTCAGTATCCGGGAGTCAGCTTCAGCGAACTCTTCCCTGACTGGGCTTTTCCCGCGGACACCGAACACGACAAAGTCAAGAGTAAGACTGAGTGACCTGTACATTCACAAACACACACACACACACACACACACACACACTTTAACACTTTAATGGACATCACGTTGGTTTTAAACACATTGCTAAATATAAATACCATATACAATAAGCTAGTATGTGTTTGAAGTAAGGAGGATGAGTTTTTTTTTTAAACAACACTTGCTAATGGCACATGCCTCTCTGGTGTCTTTATCCTACTTGAAAACATCTTTTATCTTTTTACATACTAGAGAGAACTCTTAGCCCACTGTTTGTTGCTCTCTGGGCTGAGAGCGAGGAACTCATTAGCTAATTTTATTGTAAAGACAAATGTTCTGCCATTTGAAAGTGAGATTCCCCGGTTTTAATATAAACAACCAGCAAAGTATTACACTTGACTTCGAGGCTTGGGAGTGCCCAGGAGAGCTAAATTTAGCTTTAAATCTTACTCAACGTTGCCATGGCTCAGCAGAACACTTGTTAAGTAGAATGATGTCATGGTGCTGTTGCCTTAGTAACTCTGGTTTCTTTTACTGTTGCCATAACAGCAAGCCAGGCCCGGGACCTATTGTCCAAAATGCTGGTGATCGATCCCGAGTGTCGCATCTCTGTGGAGGAAGCCCTGAATCATCCGTATATACACGTGTGGTACGACCCGGCCGAGGCAGACGCGGTGAGGCCACTCCCTTTGATTATACCGGCTTCACATGTTTCATAAACTGTGATTAAAATGGCTTCATGATCATGACTGTGCCACATGGTGTTGCCTTGTTCTGCAGCCGCCTCCTCAGATCTCGGATAAGCAGCTGGAGGAGAGAGAGCACAGTATCGAGCAATGGAAAGGTGGGAAACACTGCCCTCTAGAGTCAAACCACAGTACAACAGATATGGATTAGTTTCAATCATTTCACATTCGTCATGTTTTCCGCAGAGCTCATTTATGAAGAAGTGATCGACTGGGAAGAGAGGAATCACAATGGACTACTGAAAGAAGATAGTTCAGGTTTGATAATGCACTTCTCAGGATTATGTGTCCAGTATATTTAGTAAATACATTTTACTTTATAGAAATAGAATATTGCATCCATCATTAACACCACCAGATCCAAACACATATACCATATTATCATGAATTCTTTCAGTTACAAGAGGCAAATAAAGCATATTTTGAAAATGTACTTTTACTTTGGATTTTTTTTCTGTGCTTTTGCAACAGCTGTATTAAAGGTATATAAGAGGATTTTCCAAAACAATCAGGAAATTAACCGCCCTCTCCACTTTTTGAACAAAACTCTCTGGTCTTATTTGATCAGCACGTATCACCAGAATGATTGCGAATTGGGAGAACCAATAGTCTTGATGATCCACCCGGAAGTAGAAAAATCCTCCTTTATACTTTTTAATCTGAGGTACCTTTTTCAATATACATTTTCTTTGTCCCAAAGAGATTTTTGTAAAAGCCACATTTGATGAATGAACAAATCAGACCACTACATGCTGTTTTTCTGTCTATAAACGCTGATCTAAAGATAACCCATAAGCCAACTACATGCTTCTGAAAAAAACCAAAGGAGAAAAAAATAACTAATCAGGAACTAGTTATGTAAAAATAATGTATTTTTTAAAATGCTAAAATTTGGCTAAATGTATCTTAATTTTAGCACATTTTTCAACAATATTTTCCAATGGGCCAAACTAAATTTTAAAGGCTACAAGAAAGATACAGTTCTTGAAATAAGACTAAATGGCTTTGTCCCATTGGTAAATCTTGCTTTTTAAGACTCAAATTAAGATAACAATCACCCAATTCAAGCAATTCTATCATTTTAGATGTGTAGATGGATGATTCATAATTCCATTGATGTGTTCCAAAGTTAGATACCCCAGCTTTAATAAATCATCTCTGCACCACTTTAGCTGGCCTCTCTGTCTCTCAGTGCCGTGTATAGTGTCTCTGTTGGACTCGCCCGTGTAGAAAGCTGGTCCATGGCCTGAATGCAGCCTGTTCAGAGGGCTCTCCACGTGTCTGACTTGCACCTGTTGGTTTCCGTTGGCTCGTGTTGCAGGTGTGGTGTCCGCTTCCATCTCCCAGTCGTCGTCGGCCAATGACATTTCGTCCATGTCCACGGAGCACACCTTGGCTTCAGACACGGACAGCAGCAGCATCGACACGCTGACCGGACCCCTGGACGAGTGCCAGTGAGGGCCGCCATCCAACACATGTTACCTGCATTTACTTTCAGCGTCCTCCTTTTTACTCAAGTAATAGGTCTATTTTTATATTTTTGTTCCATGTGAAAGTGAATCGCTCTGACTGGTCCACATGAGAAAGGTCAAAGAGTTTATTGTTGAGGTTACATATGTTTGCATTCATGTTTGGTTATTCAATGTGTGAATGCATGATTATGACAATAGTTATGATTTATTGTTAGAAATATGACTTTGTTTTTATCATTTATAAGTTTGAGCAAAGACTGCTGTTTTTTGGCATGCTAAGTTTAGACTTTTAGAGATCACTGATCCTCATTTCAACAAGCATCTAGTTTGATTCACCTTTGATTCAGGTGTTATTCAGCTTCTGTGAATCCTGGTGGTTTTAGTGTTTTCTAGTATTTCTTGTGACATAATTTTGACATCCAATAATTAGTTATATTTTGTCAATTTAGAAAAGAATAGAAAAAAAGATGGATTCTCCTTAAAGTAATAAACGATATGATTTCCAGAATAAGGCCAACCATACTGTACACAGGAAAAACACGTGAACTAGAATATTGTTTAAAAGATCTGTATGTTTCTGTATTTCAACTTATTATGAGAAATTAATATTTGATTTAGACTCATTCCCTGCAAAGTGACATACAATATCTATATGTCTTTGTTTTACTATTGATTATTTCAGTCCATAGACACAAGCAGATCTACTGTCCATCCATCCATCCATTTTCTGCCCCTTAATCCATTTCTGGGTCAGGGGGGTGTCAGTCAGAGTTGCACCCAATACATATATCACCAGCCCCTCACTGATCCTCCTGCAGGTGGTGAGTCCACAGGAGCCTTGGTCTTTCAGTGGGGGCTTCAGGCAAAGTGGGGTTAAGTGTCTTGCCCAAGGACACAACGACAGCAGTCATCAGTGGGAGTCGTGAAGTAGGTCTCATGGTGGGCTCGAACCCACGACCTTCAGGCCCTAAGGCCAATGCTCTACCAACTGAGCCACTGTCGCCCCAGATTTACTGTCCATTTTCAAAATTTGATTGAAATGCTTTATTCTGGTTTTTTTCAAGTTGTGAGCCTCAATATCTATCATTATAACAAATACAGTAAAGGCTTGATACGTGTAATTTTGCATCTAAAAAGTCTACTATATATATAATTCTCTTTGTAAGTTGAACTGCAGAAGTAAATGGACTTTTGAAACGATATTTGAACTTTCCGAGTTTCACCTGTGCTTATTATTTGTCATTGAGAAAACAATTTGTGGAATAGTTTTATTTTTGTTTTTTCTTTGTGAAATATTGCACTCTTGCACACAATCAGCTCTGGGCCCGCAGTATAGGGTTTACTCTAATGCATGGACTGCTCCTTTTCTCAACCATTCCACCAGTGCTATAGTACAGTAACAGTCATCAGTAACAAACGGTGCAGCCTCCAAACGGCCACTTGCATGACGACAACATTACACAGAGTGACCCTGAGCTCTGGCCCTGTCAGATATTTAGATAACAGTTTGTTGATGTGGTTTCAATCTCTTTGGAAAGCTGTGTTTTGCCTCGTTAGTCTTTGTGATGGTGTTCTCACATTAGGTACTGTGTATAGTCCCCATGATCCCTGCTCAGCCCCTGAGTCGTGTCCCTGGAGACATGAATGAGACCCTCTGGATGTCTGTGTACATACGGACTGTGACGCTGCTTCCTGCAGACATGATTGCACAAAGTGAGAGATGAACAATATACTAAAGGGTCGCTGAAGACTCGTGCACTTGTATTAACTTCATGATAGAGAAGAAAGACCTTATTTTGTCAGACTTGCCTTAAATGACCCCACATGTGGTCAATTCATTCAAAAAATAAATACAGACTGAGTGTCATCCTGTGCATAATGTGTCCTTGTGTCTCTTTAAGTACTACAGGATCATACAAAGGGAAGCTCCGATACAATTCTGGCACTGGATACCGGCGACTGCTGGATTGAGTATTGGATTTTGGTTTATACAACTATTTAGCGGCTGATATTAAAGTGAAGTTCGGTTACTTTTCAAATGTTGAAGATGGAGAGACGTTTTTTTGAACCAAGCACACGTTAGACCCGCCCCCACAGCTCCCTGATTGTACGCGATTAATCCAATTTCTTGATAGACAGCTGAGGCCCCTCACCATTGGTCTCACTATTCTCCTCCAGCAAGTTTCACCGGTGACACTTATTCCAATGCTACTATAGGGTCATAAAGCTAGAAATATTTTATGTGTAGTATGCAAAATGAAATACAATTGCAGTGGCCTTAACCTAGAATGTCAGCGTTTAAGTTTGCGATTTGAGGTTTGTTTTGTTCCCCAGGTCTTCCTCTGGCATCAGGTATTGACAGATATTGAAAGCCACAGAATCGAGATCGATATTGGACGTAAAAAAGCTGGATCTGTTATTCCCTAACCAGACACTAACTATCCAAAACTTCGAATTTTGTGTACACTTAAACATATGTGTATGAACAATGTTTATGAAACCAAAACAAATGATTTGTCAAAAGCTCTTGGCAATATATTCAGTCTTCTTGGCCTCTTTGTTGAGCTCCCCAAAAGTGTCAAAGAACTGCTCCATCTCCCTCTGCAGAGCTGCGTTGCGTTTCTCTGCTGCAGCGCGTGCTTTTTCCGTCTCAGTGATCTTGGCCTGGACCACCTGGTACCAGTGGCGCTGCTGGGACAAGTTTGTTTTCAGACGCGTCACCTCCACCTTCAGCTCCTCGTTCCTTTGCTCCAGGCTGATGACAACAAGCAGAAGAAATGACTGATGACATGATGACTTGTTGGCAGCAGGAGTTGGTTCTGGTGGCACATACAGTATTTGATCCACATGAACTTGTACTATATTGCCACTCACCAGACCAGAGAGAGTGTGACCTTACAGTGGGAGACATGTCCTATGTATATCAGTCAGAAATGAGCCATGTGTTGTGTCTAGGTCAGCACCATGGTCTCTGAAATTAGCTCTGTTTCTCCAGTGTCACAGGTTCTTTCTATAGGTCAGCACCACATGTTGTGCTTTTTTACTTCAACTCAACTGTGTTTCAGTATGTTTTTATGCAAAAACTAGCTTCTGTTAAAGAGATATTCCTGTAAACAAGCTGGAACTTCAGTGTGTGTGAATGTGAGTATAAAGAAAGGTCTGCTCTAAACAGGATGTGAGGCCAAGTCAGAGGCCAAGACAGAAACCAGAGCTCCTCTGAACTCCCAAACTGTCTTGGGAAAGTGCTGCTGGGAACAACATCAGGAGATTGAGTGTTAGAGTAAATATATGACACATAAGCCCATGAATAGAGAGAGGCCAGTTCTCCACAGCTCATAGATGCACACCGTACCTGCTAATGCGCTCCTCGTATTCACCTCTCTGCCGGGTGATCTGCTGCTGCAGGCTGGTGAGGAGGCTGCGGAGGGCACTGGCTGAGGGGTCTGCCACAGGCACAGGAGGGGGCAGCCGCACAGGTTCAGGGGCCTCCTCTGAGGGCCATGGCTCAGTCTGACACACCTGCGAGCACAGCTCTGGATCCTGCTCCAACATAAGATCCTGATCTTTGGACTCTGGCAGGACGATCTCACAGGAGGACCAGGGGCTCTGCTCCAGGCTCTGCTCCTCAGGCTCCAGGAGTCCTTGGAGCTGCTGTGGGGCCCAGGCCTGGTACATGTGCTCCTGTGTTTCCATGGTGCTGTCTGGGAGGTGGTTCGGGGTAATGGCTTCAGGGATGTTGTCATAGAAGGACAGAGCGCTCCTGTGTTCAGTGCTGTGTGATGGGCTTGGACTGTGTTTGAGAGCTGCTCTGTCCTGAGCTCTCCAGAGGATTCCCTGCTCACTGTCTCCTCCTCTAGCCCCCAGCTCTGCTCCGTACCCGGGACGTCCCAAAGCTCCTGTCCAGCTACAGTAACTGTGGTCTGGCCACAAGCCAGGCCCTCGTGCCCCAGTCACAGTGGGACCAAGAGCCACTGCTGGGGCAGGGCCTGGGACAGTGGGCTGCTGAACCCTGCGCTCCATCTGGGTGTCCCTGTTCCTCCGGCTCTGAGCATGAGGCAGGCAGTTGTCGTATATGGGTTCTGTGGAGCAGGAGCTGCCTGTGGGGGTCTCAGTTGGAAGACAGTGCAACTCCATGGTCCAGAGCAGGGCCCCTCCCCCGTGTGTCCTGGCTTCAGGGGTCTGTCCTCCTCCTTGGGCTGGCTGTGTGCCGTGAGCCTGGCCAAGATACTCTGAGTGCTTATGTTGTAGTACAGTTCTCAGTCCTGTGTGTGTGTCTTTAAGACAAGCTTCAGCTGTTACTTCACAGCTTCTGAGGGAGGGAGCAGTCTGTAACAGAGTCTCATTCCAAAAGACAGTCACACACAACTGCAACAACAGAAATAGAAATGGCCACACACAATGATTATACATACAATATAATAATAATATACTCTTATATAATATAATTTACATGATAAAAACATCTTGTCTTATGTGTCTTCTTTTATAACAGAGATCTGGTGTGTGCTATCCTATGTTTTTCCAATGTGGTTTTACTGAAAATGGCAATTAAATTAAATGCACACACTAAACCACTATTTTGTTTGCTGTCACATGAACACATTTAAAGAAGTGAAAACAAGAATTGCATAAATGTACACTTTTGTGGCAGAGTCGGAAATGCCAGTGCGCCCTTTGTCCACAAGGTGGCAGCATACACAAGATGGTTGAGAGTCATGTAATGTAAGTGAATATTCAGACTAAAATGGAAAGCTTGCATGACACATGTCTGTATTTCCCGCTTGGGTTTGTTGTGCTTTCCTCACTTAGATATGATACATATATTTTTACAGGCTGTAACAATACGTCCTGTTCTCACCATTAAGTGGAACGCCTAAACACTGACCTTTTTAACAGGGTTATTGTGCAGGATATCTGACATTTGGCTGTTTTCAGCTTCTTAAGATCAGCTTAGGGCCATTGACTCACTATTGTTTTAGCAATTCAGAGAAGATGCCTCTCATTAATGCACAGCTTCAAGGAACCTCAATCAAAGTCACTTCCTCCTCATCAGAGGCCCCAGCTGCAGGCCGGAAGACCTCTGCTCTCAGCATCACTGCAGGATCTTACAATATCCGGCAACAATCATGAATAACTTCCACCGCAGATATAGTTGGACTTCTGAACTTCTGCTTCTCATTTTTTCTCTGCACAGATATCACCTTTTATTCAAGCTTCCTGCTCATCTGCGTAGTTGTTTGTAACCATGACTACTAAATCCATGGCAACTGAGAGCTCTCTAAAAAATAAAGGAAAATGAAAAATGTGAAGACATAATTCATTGTCTGAGTGTTTGAGAAGGATGCTGTGCAAAAGAGACCAGACTGTCCAGGAAGTCAGTGTGAGTGTTGTGAAAGTTACCGGTAAATATATTCTCAAATTAAATTCCTAAAAAAATAATAGATAAATGCAAATATAATATGACAATCAGCATTCAGCAATTCAACCTGTTCCTGTTTTATAGAATTCAAGTCTTCAATCTCAAAATATTTTCGTTTGAGAGGCGGTGAGCATGAGGGTATATGTGGGCAGATGTAAAAAGACAGTACTACTGCACTACTACTCAATGGTGGCTTTCTTACACAACACAAATATATTGCTCTTTCCTCCTCACTCCTGTAGCGCTGTAAGAGAGCAGCGTATCCTGTGCTTATGTGTGGGTATGGAGGCAGCCATGTCAAATTGGATTATAAGGTTTTTAAAATAGCTCTCCTTTTCTACATGCATTTTCAATTGAATGTATGACTCAACCGTGTTACGTAGCCGCTCTTCTTTGGATGAAAGTTCCCCCTCAGGCTCATGTAGGCCATAAGTGATCGCTACAGTTATACATGGGGTTCTCTTCATCAGGAAGGATCTCTTTTTAGTGACAGCCAATTAACACATCTGAACGTGTCGCCATAGAAACAGATAATTTCTTGAATTAGAATTGTATCCCCTTTAAGCGAAACCTCTAAATCGTCAGACGGTTTGTAAGTTCACACCCCCCACACCCCAGGTACATTCATATTCAACACATGTCTCCTTTAAATATCTTTGACAGGTTCGTGTTTGTCTGCGTTTAGTTTTACTTGAGGTAAAATCCTTTTTAGTGACGGACATAAAGTGTTCCATATTTTGATTGTATACATTTAAAATAAATAAATGAATAATATCTAATGAATAATTGTTTTGTACATAGAGGCAATTTAGCATATTTATGTTGACGCTGTTTGCCAACACATTGATTAATATGTACTGTCCTAAATTCAAATAAATAAATACATAAATGCAATAAAAATCAAAATTTCATTGTAGCCGGGTGTGCACGTTCAAACACTTTTATCAGGAGTATGTGATGCACACTTCAGATCCTGCAGGGTTCAAACCACTGCACACTATTAGGACTTGGATGTTGAGCTGAGATTTTGATGTAAAACATGACATACTAGTGATACATATTCAAAGGAAAGATGTTGGGAAACACTTGGTTTGAACAGAATGACAGAATAATCCAATTGAGAGAGAGAGCCGTGATTGTTCTACAGACTTATATTTTCTTTGCAGCTTTCTTCCACACCGAGGCTTTGAAAAGAAGGATGTCTGAAGTGTCTACTGTCTACATGATACTCTTCTGTCAGCAGGAACATGCAGAGTTCTAACGGGAAGCAGAGAAAAGCAGAGAGACGGGAGACGTAAGGAGAGTCCTCACTCTGTCTGTTTTACACTGCACTTTGAACATGTTACACTTACTGCGATTTGCTCACACCATTGGTTACAAAACACATATTTGTTTGATTATATGTCACTAGCAAGCCATTATCCCAAAGTAGAAGGAGCCAAAAGCAGACCAAACACGAAGCTTATAAAAAAAAATTGAAGTAAGTAAGTAATCGTTATTTTCAAATCAAATTCTACAAACCAAGGTTACCCAATGATCTTTGCAATGTTTTGGAGAACCGATTTTTTTTCCATTCCCTCTACACTGTGGCGACAGAAGCGAGACGCCATACACCATCACTCAAATGTTTTTAGTGGGAAGGGAAAAAGAAGCACCTGGAGCAAACCTACGCGGACATGAGGAGAACATGCAAACTCCACATAAAGGCCTGGGGGTCAGTCTCAGTCAGGGTTCAGTAGAATAGGTGAGTATCTGATGGCAAGTAAAAAACTGGCTCAAAATCTGGACTCTACAACCGAATGCAAAGAAACAACATGTCCCCCTGGGCTTTTCTATGATTCTAACCCCGTTGGTTGGAATCTGCCTGGATGTGGGATTAATGGTTAAATAATGATTACACCGCTCACCTCTCTCTGCTGGCTGCGCGGGAAAAGCATCCGTGTAATCTCCTTCTTTCTACGTCCTAATTGATTTGCTGAATAAGAGGCGTAATGTGATCCTGGGGAATAGTAATTACCACTTTTTGAGACTGGGTGTTGCCTTGACGCTAACGAGCCTACTTAGGAAACAGAAAAAGCAATTACACTAACCAGGAGAAGAGTAAACTGTGTGCAAATGGGATTCGCATTGTACAAAATAACATGGCTGACTTTATTTCTTTCTACTTGAGTTTGCAGAGGCACCCCTACAACTGCTGCTGCTGCTGTTCTGATATTAAACCTGTCCATGTCATGTGAAGAAATGAAAAAAGAACCCAAAATGTAGGACTGAATATATAGCGTATAATTTAATCGTTAAATCCAAGATAACACAATTCCAGAATTGAATACACAACAAACGTGGAAGAGACAATGGACGGACAACAAGTGCACAGGGTATAAATACACACAGGAGACACAGGTGGATCACATCAGGGCGGGGCAAACAACAGGACAGACAGGAAGTAAACTCAAACTATACAGGAGAACCTAATTAAAATGAATTCAGGTCAAAATAATCACAAAAGTCCGCACCATGAAAGTTCACTATAGAGTTCTTCACAAGTGCATTTTATATGATTCCAAAAATAGTATCATCGAGAGTTGTAATTTCATTTCTTTTCCAGAACTTTTCATACAAACTGTATGCATTTAAGCAACCAAATGCTTCAAGAATGATCATAATGAACATTGTGTGCAGCTGGTGATCAGGTGGCATTCCAACATCGCTTGGAAAATTAGTGTTTGCTCATTTATTTTTACTGGAACATGTACATGATGTTTCTTATGTAATAATAATAATAATACTTTTTATTTAAAAGCGCCTTTCAAAACACCTAAGGACATTCAGCCAACTTCAGCACTGTCAAATGTAAATTACATGGACATAATGTCATGCCTCAGTTTAGAGTTCAGCCTGAAGAAAGTCAAAACAGTTTTACATTCTGTGTTGTCGGGCCCTGGACATGTCTGGTTAACTACAGTCTTACTAAAAGGTTTGGACATCCCAACCCTACCCATCTCTACCTCCATTGTGAGGAAGGATCCCAAAGCCAATCCATCAATTCAAGATAAATCAATATGAATGGCTTCCGCAGATTTATTCTAATCTGTTTCACAAGAGTCCTCCCCCTGAGCCACACTCTGCTGAGCCCAGAGCACGGTCACCTCGGCTCGGACTGGACCCTTCTCTGTGTAATGCTTTTCCTTAATCCCTTTATCCTCACCGGTCCTCTGTATCCTGTTTGTCTGCCCCTCAGCCCCTGTGCAAGAGCCCTGGGACGGCATTGCCAACAACAAAACACAACACAGCGACACACAACACAACTGCATCAGCTCCACACCACACAAGACCTCCTGTCATTACAAGGCCCTTACCAAGGTTCTACTCAGACCTTTGGGGAATAGCCCCTCTGCAGCTGGACTCATAAACACTTCAAAATTCAACACAACAGTCTTTTTCTGTTGTTACTTTTTACTTGTTGAATAATGAACAGGTACTTTTTCCTGGTTAAATAGGGTAAATAATTAATAATTCTGCTCATTTTAATGTCATACCTTTGGACACACTATGCACTGTTGTGTCTATTGTGTGTATTTATATATTAGAATTATGAAGCTGAAGTGAAAATTCAGACTGGAAGACAAGAAGTACTACGCTCACAGCGCCTCCCAATGTTGTTTCACGGCAACAGCATCAGTCAATCACACTCAGCTTCAGCGCCACTGGCGAATCC